AAAAAAATCGACAACAAGAAGGGAAACAATAAAGTTTCCCGTTTTCAGAAATCGTGAGAAGAACGAGACACAATCAGTCTCTCAATTCTAAAATAACATTCGATTCACTAATGGTTGTTGTGGACGAATTCAGAAAATCAGAAAAGAATGAAAGAAATCGATTAACTAGAAATCTTGAATAAGAAATAGAAGAATGATCGTTAACTCTTGCTTTTGGAGAAGACATCGTTTCGATTTTCCATGGCAATGTTTGGATTTTCTATAGAAATCTGACTGTTGAAGAGTTACGACGCCTTGGAATTAGGCAGGACCGGCCCGTGGGCATGGGCAAGCTGGGCGACCGCCCCGGGCCCCCAAATGCTACAGAGCCCCAATTTTTAACTTGTTTTTGGTTATATATTAACAACTCATTACTTTTTAGCCAATTGGACTACTTCAAACCCCAATACTTTGATCAGAAACTAATTCAAAAGATGGAGCGTGGGAGAGAACGAGACTTACCTAGCATGCGTCCTAATTCCAAGGCGTCGTAACTCTTCAACAGTCAAATTTCTATAGAAAATCCAAACATTGCCATGGAAAATCGAAACGACGTCTTCTCCAAAAGCAAGAGTTAACGATCATTCTTCTATTTCTTATTCAAGATTTCTAGTTAATCGATTTCTTTCATTCTTTTCTGATTTTCTGAATTCGTCCACAACAACCATTAGTGAATCGAATGTTATTTTAGAATTGAGAGACTGATTGTGTCTCGTTCTTCTCACGATTTCTGAAAACGGGAAACTCTATTGTTTCCCTTCTTGTTGTCGATTTTCTTTTCCTGATATAGCACCAATGAGAAGTTAATAAGGTTATTTGATTTATTTTAGGAATCTAGCCTAGATGTTTGAATCGAGAGTTCCAATCACTGCCTCAATTGGATTTCGTTCTCAATTTCTAGAAATTTGAAGGCTCAGTTTTCAGAATCGACTATTATAGGTGAAATTGATTTTTGATAATATGACTATTAATCTTTGTATGTTCTATCGCTCTTGAAATTTCTTATTCTTTTTTTGAAATTCGATTTTTATGAGGCTGTTCAAGTTAGAGACATAATCAAATGTTAATATTTTTGAGTTAGAGACAGTTCTTGAACTCTATTGCTTAATGTCGATTTGTAATGTTAATATTCTTATTTTTGATTTATGAATGGTACTCTTTTTTATTCCTATTTCTATGTTTTTGATATGTATAGAATCTTTTGTTGTTGTATAGTTTTTTCAACTACTTTCAGGTTATTAACAACAAGTATTCTGGATTTAAGCAATTCATCTAACAATTTTTTGTCGATGATAAATCTACTTCAGTTGGAGGTTAACAACTTATGTACATGAATAGAACCGAACAAGTTAATGAAGAAACAAAGGGGATGAGACTTTAGTATTTTTGTACTTCTAATACCATTATATTTTTAGTTTTCTCCATTCTATGGTGTACAAATTTAAATGTATTGTTATGTATGTATAATTTATAAAATAGTGTAATATACAAATACATAAAATTTTTGAAAGGGCCCCATTTTTTATTTTGCCCCAGACCTCCAATCGTGTTGGCCCGACCCTGGAATTAGGACGCATGCTAGGTAAGTCTCGTTCTCTCCCACGCTCCATCTTTTGAATTAGTTTCTGATCAAAGTATTGGGGTTTGAAGTAGTCCAATTGGCTAAAAAGTAATGAGTTGTTAATATATAACCAAAAACAAGTTAAAAATTGGGGCTCTGTAGCATTTGGGGGCCCGGGGCGGTCGCCCAGCTTGCCCATGCCCACGGGCCGTTCCTGGACCAAGTGTGCAAAATATAAAAACTTAAGATGGCTTAAACCCTTAGGGTTCTCCAAACATCCTTTCATTATGTTCTTAAGGGGATGAAGATAGAAAAACCAAAACATCCATGGAAAAATACAATGTTGAGCTTAAAAGATTGTAATTGATTGGTATTCTTCATCAATTCCATCAAGAAAATCATCTAAGGTATACCTTTTTCCCTACATGGTTTGAGTTTTTTAGGTTTACAAGTGGTGAACTTTCATGTGGGTCTCCATAGCTGAAACTGGATGAACAAATTGATGATGTTAAGGTGTTAAGACTTAGATTCTAATGCCTTATGTTCATTCAAATTGAGAAACACATGACAATTGATCAATTAGCCCATTCTAAATTTCAAAGGCATTACCTAAAAAAATAGGACAAAATTACAAATTTAGCCAAAAACACTAATTAATTTGCAAATTTAGCCAAAAAAAATCGAAGTTGCAAAAATAACCACTGAAATCGCAGATGGAAATGGTCCATCTGCGATTTTGCTCTTCCATCTGTGAAGGTACAAGCACCTAAAGCATAGTTGTGCTTTAGGTACTTGTACCTTTGCAAATGGACTAATCCATCTGTGATTTCCCTTTTTTTAGTATAAAAACGTTTTTTTTTTCCTACATTTTTCACTCTTCATTTTAGAGAAACTCTCTCTCTAGTCCATTCCCTTGCAATTTCCCTTCATTTTTCACTCTTCATTTTTCAATACGTTTATTTTGTAGTCAAACTCATTGATTTCGTAGTCAAACCTATTGATTTCATGGTAAAAAGAAAAACATAAAATCTCAGATCAAAGGGAGATGAAATCGCGTATGGACACTGTTCATCTACGATTTTAGTATGATTCTTACTTATATATACACGGAAAAAAAAAACCATCTGCGAATGTACAAGTGGCTAAAACACAGACATGTTTTAGCCACTTGTACATTCATAGTTGGGATAGGCAAATCGCAAATGGACTATTTCCATCCGCGATTTCAGTGGCTAAATTTGCAGCTTCAATTTTTTTTGGCTACTTTCTACAAAGTAATTAGTTAATTTGGTTATTTTTGTAATTTTCTCAAAAAATAGTAATCCAGCTTCTCAAATGTACTTAATTAGTTAGCCTTAATTTCAAAAATAGTAATGTACAATTGAAAATTTCCACATACCTTAGCATTTCTCGTTTGTGAGTTTTCTTCCAATTCACGAACTTTATTTATTCAATCTACAATTGAAGGTGTAAATTAATTACTAGATGGATTAGTAATTAAATGTGTAAATCAAGTTAAAGGTTCTTGCCTCAAAATATGGATGTTATATATTACCAAGTTTTTAGTGGAGAATTATTTGCTTAAATATTTTTCACGAACTTCCATGCTTGACACCAACAAACAAAGATTTTAAAGATGAAGATGGTGGGTGAAGAACAAAACCAGCCTTCAATCTATTGGAACTTAGATCCAGAAAATCAAATAACTTTTGCACTTCAACCTTCAATTTTCACTTGAAGATGATAAAATGGTTATGTTTATCAATGAACTCGTATTTGAAAATGCTAGTTTATTTTGTAAAATAAATGACATTTCGCTACTCACCATCATGTCATCGAGTGACAGCAACCAATGTAGCCATTCATATACATATAACAACATACTTAATTACCTACACATGTCATGAACTCTGTAAGTTAGGTGTCACATTTTGTTAGATACTCATTATCAAATTAATGTCGTTAATAATTAGGTGTCACATTTTCTTAGATATTCATTATCAAATTACTATCTTGACAATTTGTAACGAGTGAACAACAAGTCTATTATTATTTGTAAATAATTTTAGATAATGTAATAATGAAATTATAAAGTTTTTGATGTAGACCATGTCTAACCCATTATTATTACTTTTAGATAAGAGAAATTAAATTCCCTCCTACCTTTTATTCCTATAATTATTCCTACCCACTAAAATTATGATAAATCACCATTCAATTTAATTGTATTTGATATATTCCTAATATAATCTTAATGATTTAGTTTAAAAAATATGGAAAGATGGCACTTGTTATAATTTTATTGGGTAGGAACATTTGTAGGCATAAAAAGTAGGAATCAATTTAATTTCTCTTTAGATAATGTCGATCATGTCTAGGTCACGCATCACACGTCTTGCTTTGAAATCTAAGAGGTAGAGGTTTCGGCCCCTTTTATTTCCCCTTATTTTTTGCATGTCATAAAAACTTATGTAGAAGCTAACCCGTTATTTTTACATATGTCATAAAACGTTAGATCCTAATCCAAGTCCTCCAACTAACTTTCATTATTTTATAATTTTTGTCCAACTTTTATTTTTTATAAATCCGATCCAAATTTATTTATATATTTTCCACATCTTTGTTTTTATATGTTTTTAAAAAAAGAAATTTTTTAGAGAAATATTTTTTTACAACTTATTTTACATTTGTTTACAAGTTTGTTTTTTACTATTTATTTTAATTAGTTTTTTACAAATTTACCTTTTTCTTCATTTTTATGAATATACTTTTTAAGATTTTTTTTTTTTTTTACAAATTTGATTTTGGACATTTTTCTTCTTAATTTTTATGTATGTATGTTTATGAAAACATGTAAAAATTTGTTTTTTCATATTCGTTTTCACAAACCAGAAATACACTCTTGTATATAACTAACTATGATTGTAATGTAATTATTATTCTGCATAGACAAATTTTCTATAGCATCACACAGGAGTGCTGCATCTGGTTTATCACATTAATCCATGGATGTCAGCACAATGAAAGGCGACATAAGCTTGTGCAAACAAGGTGTATGTGAAGTTTAGACTTCGACTGATAATAATTTATAGTACAGGGAGTTTAAATTATACTCACATGATTATAGGGGCCTAACTGAAAAGTTCCGGTTTCATGATTTCATCTCATCTATAATCACACGCGTTGTTGACTGTCAAAAGGCATCCAATACCAAACCCTGATTTGACCATCTCCCAATCCCATCGTCTTATTAGATTATTAAATATTATTAATTTTAGAAAGAACAGAGGAAGCCCATAATATATTTATATATATTTCCATTTTCCCCCATATAACCCCAAATCTAAGCTCTGTTACATGTATTTTTTGCTCCCTTCCCTTCTCCATAAATTCTCTTCATTCTAAAGCTTTGAATCATATAAAAATGGTGGATCATCAGAGGCATATGCAGCCAAGAAAAGGTGTTAAAGAGATGTTGATGCATGTAGATGAAGAACATGGCTGTGTTAATATCAAGAGATCAAGACCCAAACTTCTCTTCTTTCTCACTTTTTGCTCTCTTCTCTCTTGTTTCTTGCTTCTTCTTCCTCCTCTCCTCTCCTACCCTTCCCCCTCTTTCTCTCTCCTCTGTAAGTACTCTCTCTCTCTCTCACACACACATATTTAAAAGCTCTGTGTTTGAGTTAAAGATTTTGTCTTTTTATGCTTTTTAGTAATCAACTCTGTTTTGGTTCTACAGATTCATATGAAGGTGAAGATGAAGCCCTTTTGGAAATAAAAGCTCCACTTTGTTCGTCCGTCTCAAATGGTAAGTTCTTTCTTTGTTTTCTTTATTTATTATTATCTATTTCCAGTTTGCTTTTTGGAATTTTCCTTTTAGTGTTCAAGTTGCAGAAAGAATGAATATTTTATTTATTAATTCTGGGAGATGTTCATGTTCCATGATCTTGAATCGTGATGCTGTTTTTACTTTTACAGGAACAATTTGTTGTGACAGAAGCAGTATTCGATCGGATATATGCATAATGAAAGGAGACATAAGAACAAACTCATCTTCTTTCTCCGTCGTCCTCTACACCTCCGACGATCTTCTCACCGGAGAAGAAGAACTCCGCCACGAAAAAATCAAACCCTACACTCGAAAATGGGAGCCATCCACCATGGCCACCATCGACGAACTAACTCTCACATCCAAGAAATCCAATACCTCAACAACGCATAAATGCGACGTGTATCATGATGTTCCCGCCGTGTTCTTCTCCACCGGAGGTTTCACCGGAAACGTCTACCATGAATTCAACGACGGATTAATACCTCTTTACATCACATCTCAGCAATTCAACAAGAAAGTTGTGTTGGTGATTCTTGAATATCACGATTGGTGGATTATGAAGTACGCTGATGTTCTTTCTCAGATCTCTGACTACGAACCAATCGATTTCAATGGAGATAACCGAACTCACTGTTTCTCTGAAGCCATAGTCGGATTAAAAATCCACGATGAACTCGCCATCAATTCTTCATTGACAACAACCAACAAAACAATCCAAGATTTTCATGATATGTTAGACAAATCATATCAGCCACGAATTCATGATTTGGTTCAAGAAGAACCGGAAAAAACCCGCGAAAACCCCGATAATAACCCGAAGCTGGTTATCATATCAAGAAACGGGTCTCGGGCCATTATGAACCAAGATTTGTTGGTAAAAATGGCGGAAAAAATCGGGTTTGATGTGGAAGTTCTCCGACCCGATAAAACGACTGAATTGGCGAAGATTTACCGGGCTTTGAACTCGAGCGATGTCATGATTGGTGTCCATGGTGCTGCGATGACTCACTTTCTGTTCATGAAACCCGGGTCTGTGTTTATTCAAGTTGTACCTCTTGGTACAACTTGGGCTGCAGAGACGTATTATGGGGGACCCGCGAAGAAGCTTGGTTTACGGTATATTGGGTATGAGATTGGGGCACGAGAGAGCTCGTTGTATGATGAATATGATAGAAATGATGTGGTTTTGACTGACCCTGATAGCGTAAATGATCGAGGATGGGAATTTACAAAAAAGATTTACCTTGATAGGCAAAAAGTTAGGTTAAATCTTATGAGGTTTAGAAAGCATCTGGTTCGATCGCATTTCTTTATCATGGCAAAAAGAAATCATGCCCAAGTTTAAGATCGTACCTAAACTTGAGCATTAACTTAGTTGGGTTGTGGTAAATACAAGAGACATACAAGTGAGATTAGAAAATTTTAGGGCATATCATATTCTTTGGTTCTTTTTATTAAAGTAAATAAATCTTCATTCTTTGATTAAATTGTGTTGAGATGGTGTTTTACTTGTACATTGTGTGGATTATAATTTATACATTATTACTTATTGACTTTGTACGTTGCCCATGTTTAGTTGTACATTGCTCAGTTGCTTTGACGTGAGGGAAAGGAAAGGGAATCTCCCAGCTCTATCTATGAAGTTGGGTCGTATGGTTGTATGTAAGTTTGCATTATTGCGTAGAATCTTATTTCATGAGAATGCCATATCATCAACAATTAAAAATTAGTCAATCATGATCCACTACCCTGTCCAATAATTGGTTTTTTGCTACAACAAAATAAAGATTAATTCACATTTAGATATTAAGAGTAACTTAGTTATGAATGTTTTTTTTTTGTTCCTACACGATGTAATAATATCTTAAAGTTTAAATGAGTATTGTAATATAGCTTAACGGATTAAGTCCATTTTAAGTAAAAAAGAAACAAACACAACTAGCCAATATTAGCCTTACAAATAGAATAATTTGGTAAAACATAGAAACAACATTAAGAGGTGGACAACTATATTAAGATATGTAATGCATAGTTGAAGTTACAATACAATAATGGAGAGTATCAAAATTGAATCATGGAATGTGAAGCATTTTGTAAAAGGGTAAAATAGGAAAAACTCACACTCACTTATTTGCTTCGATAAATTCTCTGTACTCTTTCTTCATTTTGACCCCTGATACACTCCTGCGTATCCATTCATAATAAATGTCAAGACTAAATAGTGTTTCAGAAAATGTAAAAGTAAAGAACAAAGAAATATGAAAACCTGATCATTTCTTTGTTCTTGAAGAACTGCACACATGGTGTACCCATAATATTTGCTGCCTCAGCAACCTCGGGATCTTCTTCAATATCAATCTCAACAAAATGGACATTCTGATCAAACTCATCTATCACCTATAATACATTTTCTTTTCAATACTTAATGATATTTCAAAAAATATTATTAGTTATTATTACCTTGCCAAGAATTGGCTTCAATGTCCTACATGGACCACAAGTTGGTGATGTATATAGTACACATATGAGTCTAGGGCTTTCATGGTACAATTTTCGCAATGCATACTGCAGATAAAAATAAAAAAAATATGAGTATTATTATATAACATCCTATTTCCATTTCTTTCTGTTAGGTTGTAATTTTCAATTTATTTATTTTTCTTATTATACCTGTCCCCTGTGCTTAGTAAGTGTAATGTCAAAGCCTTCCTGCACATCTCGTGGTGTGAGCTCCTTCTTAACTTCTTCAGTATGTGGCTGTGAAAAATATAAACAAAAAGATGAAATTAAAGTTTTAGACTTTAGTTTTCTTCACCGTTTTTATGTTTGACTTTTTTGGTCAAAATGAAGTAACCTGATGAAACTCAATGAGGAGATTATTGCTGACAAGATATCTCTCCACTGATAAAGCAGCTATGCATCCTGATCCAGCTGCAGTTACTGCTTGTCTCCATTCATGATCCTACCCACAAATTTATTACATATACAATTAATTTCATACAAAACTTTGAAACTTTCTTTTATCAAAAAATGGTATTATATTATATTACCTGAACATCTCCAGCAGCAAAGACACCTTCAACAGAAGTTTTTGCGTTTCCATCCTTGACCAAAATGTATCCGGAATCATCTAGATCAACTTGGCCTTCCAACAACTGGCTGTTGGGGGAATGACCGATTCCATAGAATAAGCCTTTAGCCTCCAAAACTGATTCCTCTCCTGTATCATGTTTCTTGATTAAAATCCCTGACATCTGTCCTTTTGTGTTGCTCACAACATCCAATGTCTCTGTGTTGAAGTGCACTGTGATATTCGGATTATCGACAACTCTGAAACATTCGCCAGAATCAACCTGTTAAACAAACATTCAGGGAGTTGAATCTTAAATACACATTGATTCTAAATACCAACCTACTTTCATTTCATCTTTCTCTTACACCATTGTTTTTTTTTTTTTTTTTTTTTTTGAGGTTTGAAAAATGACTGACCTATCCTGCATTGCTTTGGATGCCCTCATTTGATCCCTGCGTACGAGTAAATGCACATGTCGAGCATATTTAGTCAAATAAATTGCTTCCTCAGTAGCAGTATCACCTCCACCAACAACTGCAAGAACTTGACCCTTGAAAAGTGGTGAAGCTCCATCGCAAATTGCACATGCACTAATTCCCCTACTCCAAAACTCATCTTCACGTGGTAAATTCAGTCTTCTTGCAGTGGCTCCTGTTGCTACTATGATACTATGACACTTCACCTAAACATAAGTTTATTTGTTAATGTTTTATGTTTATTTATTTGTTTCTTTATAACAATTGAGGATTTACCTTACGATCGCTGCTTTGTATAGTAAAAGGACTGTTATTCACATCAATGAATTCTACATCTTCTTGATAAAGTTCTGCTCCCCATCTCTCAGCTTGACGCCTCATCCTAATAACCAAATAACAGTTATAGATAGCATCATACTTTCAAAGCTTTTCTTATTAGGAAATCATGTTATATATATATATATATATATATATATATATATATATATATATATATATATATATATATTTGTGGAGATACGTTTTACATTTTACAGTTTTACCTATCCATCAAATCTGGACCAGTAATTCCATCTGGAAAACCTGGAAAGTTTTCAACTTCAGTGGTGGTCATTAACTGTCCACCAGGAACACCACCAACTTGATATCCTTCAAACACTACAGGCTTCAAATTGGCACGTGCTGCATAAATTGCTGCTGTGTATCCAGCTGGACCTGAGCCTATGATTACCAAATTTTCAACACCTTCCCCTGCTAAAACAAAACATAATGTCGCATAAAAAATAATGACAATGAAATTATAAAATCTTGGGCCCTAAGAAAGTAAATTAAGATTGTATTAAGACTGTTGTGGTCCTATATAGTATGAGGTAATCTACAAGTTAAAGGTTTTTAACTTGTAGTTAGCAAGAATGTCACAAATATTCATTGTAGGTGCAAAAAATTTCACAAAAATAACCTTCATAGTTATTAACTTTTGTCTGTATTAATTCATTGGTGTCAACTAAAGGTTTTTTTGCAAAGTTTTGAAAGTGTAATGGCTCGTTAACATGTTCATGTCAAGTACAATGGTTAGAAATGATATTCATGATTTCATTCACATCTATAATACATAACCGATAAGAGGCTCAAGCTCCCATTTAGTGCATAATGACCAAAAGTCCACAAGCTTATTACTATACTCCCTTCTTTTCCTAAAAGCAAAATGAGACATTTTTCCACAAACTTACTAGTATTCCATCCATCCCATGGAAATTGCAGCAATCTACCAAACATGTAGTTTAATGAAAATGTCAAGAACGTAGTAATGGAGTCTTGTGAAAACGAATCAATGAAGATAACTTATTTGGAAGGATGATAGTCAACAAATAGTCCGTTTTTAACATGAAATTTTTGAAAAGGGAAATGTTTAGATTTTCATGGGGCATCTAAGAAAGGGAACAGTTGCAATTTCAATGAATGAGGGAGTATATCTCAGATCATTATCGATATGAATTTCAACCTTGTCTATAAAATTATACAAGCTATTTTTACAAGTAATACTGCAAATACAACATCAATTGGTGTTAAGTTTATCTCGAACATACATGCGGATGCTCGAAATTTCAATAGCCACAAAATCCACATCATTTTACATATAGAAGTACTAGTTTGAAATTCTATGTTAAAATTGTAGCGCTCCTTTCGAGAATGGAGGTTAATACTGGAGAATCTTAAAATTGAGACAGAACATATGTCCATGCATTTATCCATACTCTCGTCCAACTTAAATGCAATAACATCGCTTCCTCTACTATTGAGTTCAATTCAAACAAACAAACACACACACACACACACACACAAATAGATATAGTGTTAACGATTGTTAGTAGGTACCTGAAGAGGTAGGTTGGTCAGCGGATGAAGCTGAAACTCGTAAAGAAGACGGCGGCAGCGAACGACGGTGACTGCAGAATCGACCGCCGATGTTAACGACAGAGTCGAAACGAAGAGTGGTGGTGCGTCGACAAGTCAAAGCGAGTAAAAGGCTGTTGGGAGTAAGAGAAATAGAATGATTGGACGGAGAAGCCGAAGTAGCTCGTCGGCTGAGAGCATTGTTTCCGATAGCGATTCCGATTCCGACGCCGTTGGCAATCTGAGCTGTTGTAGCCATTGGTTTCGGACCATACAATTACAATATCCTTAACCAACTCAACCCAACCCAAATAACAAACACACACACAACTACTGTGTGTTTTTGGGAATCGTATATTTGTCCAGTGCTCTATCCAGAAGGATCCAAACCAAACACGAGCTCTATATCTTCCCACCGTGTATTTTCTAAAATTGTGTAATATGAATTTTAATTATCCCTTTTCTTATCTTAATGCCCATGGTTTTTTTAAAGGAAAATTTATTAATCTGATATTTTTTTGGGTTTTTTTCTAAAATATAATTTTTTTTTTCTTTTTTTGCAAAATAACTACTTATTCCAGAATTAATCGTTCCGGAACCAATTATGGATTACTTTTCGGATGGTCTAATCTATTTCATTGGATCCATAATGTTTATTCCGGAGCAACCGTATATTTTTCAGATCGGGATTTTGAATATAATTCGAAGCGGCAACTTCATTCCGAAAAGGCACATTCCGATTCCGACGCTCCAACTAGATTACGACGCTTCAACTCAATTCTGACATGCATAGACACTCATATCCAACATGGAAGACGAGAACTATGACCATGTTATTTTACGATGTTTTCGTTTTCTCTTTGTTTGTTTAAGGTTCCTATTTTTCTACTGTTACTTACTGTT